GAAATAACGAAACAATTGCATCCCAGAAGGGATTGTTCTGAAAAACGTACCTCAAGTTGTAAAACACGCTAGATATGTAGAAAAATACCACCTATTGTTTCAGAACAACAAATACACTTTTTTTATTACTTTTCGTATGCCTTCTTGGGGTAGGTCGCAAGGGTCACTGATGAAGGCTTTATCGCCGAAACGTCACTCTACAACATTTTTATTATTACCATGCACCAGATATCTTTCTTCGTGTCTTGTATTTCAGCACTGCAACGCCATAATGTGTAGCAACAATTGTATACAAGGTATACAACTCTTACCTGGCTTACCACCCAATGTCTACTTTCTATCCGTAGTTATCTGTCCCTCGATGGACACTCAAGTGCCGGAAAGGCAGTTTCCGCTCAGGCAAATATACAGATGAGTGCTTCCATCTCCACGCTGTACTGTACTGGTGTTCTGATTGTTCAGGTTATTGATTATGCTCTCCAGTGACTGGCTTTATTGAACATGTCTATCGAGACGTATACATGGGGCCGCGAAATATTTATACTAGAAGTTCGCTTTCAGAGGTCTGAAGTATTTTATGTTGCCAAACTGTTGGTGGAAAGTAATATTTATATTGAACGTTAATCATAAAAAGGAAACAATAATCTACGTTGTTAATGGAAAATAATCATCATGTATCGAACGTTACCGATTTAGCGGAAGGGGTTTAAGTATCTCCATTTCGTTGGCTGTAGAACAGAGGGGAATATATTGACTAAATTCACGTTACTAGACGAAAGACAATAGGATGATGCCATACACCACAGAACCTGGGTGGTCAGTAACTTTGAAGCCACCTCAGTACCTGAATTATTATCTCCCACTTGCAGACATTTTAAACCACAGTAAGGTCGACCCCGATATTTTGTCTATCTGTAATTAACAGCAGCGGAGAAAGAGGTTAGTTGCGTATCCTTTACAGGACGTTGCAGAACCAACTTCAACAGCTCCCGGCTGTTGTGTGGTTTTTCTAGGCAAATTTACGTCCAGTAGTTTGTCATTGCTTTCTGGACGGTCGGCTTTCTTGATACCACTGTCGAAACCAACGCAAAGCGCATTGGCCGCAGCTGGGATCGAACCCGGCATCCCGGCATTACAAAGCGTTCGCATCGACTTAGCCACAAAGCCGACAGCGGAGAAGGAGTTACCCATAATTTATAGGTCAGGGTAATCCAGAGTTGAGAATGCATACTCACAGTCATACAAAAGATATGCAGTCAACAAAAACAACAATAAGTAAGTGGATAACAAATGTGAATGTTCCCTGGAGATGCCCGGTTTCTTTAATAAAACCTGACTGTCTGTAAAATGCGTAATAACTCTATATAAGATGGAACTTCGAAAGGATCGAAAGAAAGAGCCAGCCAACTGTCTGAGACGTACACAATTAACGTATTAAAGTATTATTTACCTCACTATACTAACAGCTGTGAAGAGAAACCTGACATCAAGAACAAAGTGTGTAGAGCAAGCCATGGGGAACTACGGAAGACCTGCAACTGACAGGCGAATTCATAGAGGCAGTCCACCTGACGGTCTGATCTAAGAATAGGAACCCTAACACAAAGAAGAAAAAGAAGAAGAAGAAGAAGAAGAAGAAGAAGAAGAAGAAGAAGAAGAAGAAGAAGAAGAAGAAGAAGAAGAAGAAGAAGAAGAAGAAGAAGAAGAAGAAGAAGAAGAAGAGAAGAAGAGAAGAAGAAGAAGAAGAAGAAAAGAAGAAGAAGAAGAAGAAGAAGAAGAAGAAGAAGAAGAAGAAGAAGAAGAAGAAGAAGAAGAAGAAGAAGAAGAAGAAGAAGAAGAAGAAGAAGAAGAAGAAAAAAAAAAGAAGTAGAAAAAGAAGAAATCGTTTGTTTCTTCTTTTTTGTTGGGGTGGGGGAGGGAGGGCGGCAAGGGGGGATTTCCCAATTTGATTCTAATTGCCACTTTCCAATTACATAGCCTAGACATTTTAACGGTTTCTGTCCAGAAGACAACAAAACTACGCAATATCATGGGCGCAAAAGCAAAAGACAATGGCTTTAGCAATAAATAAATCAAAGTAAAAAAATCGAAAAGTTTGATAGGAAATGGGAATGTTCAATATAAACTTCAAGGCTAGAGATAGAAATTGCCGGAAATGAGATCTGTCAACTTTCATTGGACAGATGGCAATTGATGTCATTTGAAAATAAACACATACAAGAACTTGCAATACTCGTCTGTATAAACTGTGCATCTCGCTTCGAAAATTTGAACTTTTATATAATCGTATTTAGTGAGTTGCTTTTTCGTATCTAGATCACGGTGACATTAACAATTTTCCACCTTAAAAAATTTCCTACTGCACGTTGCTTTTTCGGCTTTTTGGGCTGTAACTATATCATTTGTTATTTGGTCAAATTCTGCCCCTATTTACAGTTTGTAAATTGTTTTTCTGTCTGCTTGTTTTGATTTGGAAGTTATAGAGTGTGGGCGTCGGTTTTATTTTGCGATATTAACTTACATTTGTAATATTTCATATTAGAATACTGTTTGTATGGCCCAGTTGCCAATATGTTGGTATTTTCCCGTGTCTCCTTTTTTGATTTATCACGATGCCTCCTGGGCAGTGAGTTGTAGTTGACAATGATTTATGTGAACGCGTAAACGAAAATTGCCAACATAGCATAAATTTGAATACGATTGTTTATGTAGTACTAAATTTCAGAATCAGATTTACAGATGTTTGACAACCAACAAACCAACCGATTATCAACCTACCACACAATCAACTCGCCCAAAACCAGTCGATCAACACACTAGTATAAGTCCCCGTGTGGGTTCCAGGGCCCTATTATGGGGAAAACAAGAATATACCCACTGCCTACCCAAAAGCATGTCGTAAGAGTCGACTAATTAGGAGCTTCCTTCGATGTCGGAGTGCATCTGCCCGAGAGGCAAGGAACCAGCAGTCTGCATACAAATTAGTCAGATCTGTCAAACGGATGCACACGCAATACTCAGTTTCTGGAACAGGACTGCAGTCCAAAAGTGGACGAACAACCAGAACTTTCCGCCAGAGTTTACATCTGGTGAACGCGAAGAAGACGAACAAGACTAGTATCAGCAGGTATAAGACAGAGATGATAGTGGACACATCCTGAGAAGGCGCTAGCAGAGAATCAACAATCAGGATCTGAAAATGGAAATAAAGAGATTAAAGAGGCGAGGACGCCCAAAATAAACCCAGAATGGAGGTTGATGACAGAGGCCAAAGCTGCTCACTGGGTTCCATCTATGACATCCGATTGCACAGGACAGACCGGAATGGAGGAATAGACTGCGAGCCCTATGTGACATATAACAGCACAACTGGGCAATAAATGATTGAAAACCAATAAACTTTATGCGATACGTATCATTTCAGTTTTACCTTTGCATTAATTTTGACATTCAGCATATTACTTTTGTTTTTATCAGTGCTTTCTTTTCCCAGTAAAGAGGTGCCGGTACTCACTGCAGCGTGTCTAAATAGGTACCAGTACTCACTGCAAAGTGTCTCAAAAGGTGCCGGTACTAACAACACAGGGTTAAAGTAAGGCCTGAAAAGTTGCTAGAACCGCTCACCATGGTGTTCAAAAAAAAGAAAAGAAGTAAAGGACCCTTTTACAAGCCTCCATGCGTATTATACATATAGTGCTAGACCTATATTTTATAGACCAATCGGCACACGGTGGGTTATCTAGACAGTATTAGGCAGGCCACCTTTACTTCCTAAGACTTTACATGATACCCATCTGAGGCTGAGTCTACGTGGAAGCCATGATCATTTCTGAAAAACGTCCTGTTCCGTCAGGAACTGAACCCACGACTTAAAGATCTTAGGCAAGCGTCTAGCCACTACACCAAGGCGGCTCAATAACCATTGTGTCTTCTTTCTTTTGTCAAAATCTGCTTGTGCCGCTAGGCGTCGCAGTCTATCAGATGATCGGCAACCGAGCCAGGGCGCGCTCAGTCGCTTCATATGCCGTGATGTTATGAAGTCTCAAGTTATCCGTGACTCCTTCAATCCATCTTCTTCTTGGTCTTCCCCTGCCTCTTGGTGTTTCGATTTTCATGATGTATGCTCTTGATGCTGGCATCGTTGGTTCCATTTTCATTGGGTGACCAAACCATTTCATTCTTTGCTTCTCAATAAATTTAACGATGGGTATGGTTCCAATAGTTCTTGTAATCACATCGTTTCTCACTCTATCTCTTCTGGTTTTATTCGCAGCCATTCTCAAACATCTCATTTCACAGGTGGTTAGTCTTCTCTCGTGTTTTTTTTGTTAATGTCCAAGTCTGACCCTGGGTACCCTGGGAACCGCCCTAATGGGTACCAGACTTAACACTTTGGGGTAAATGAGGAACGTCGCTGTAGCTACGGAGTTGTGTGCGGACGGCGACACAGGCGGATAGTTTTTTATCAACTGTCCGCACTGGTGGCAGAGCACTTATGGTTTATAACCGCGTGCAATGACGCTGGTTCATATCTCCCGAATTTACCTTTACCTTTTTAGTGAACGTGTAAAGACACGTCTTGAAGTCCGTGTCGAACATTTTGAACCCCTGTCATATTGAATATTTCATTTTTACTTTCCAGTTCCTCAGAAAATAGCGTTAGACCATAACAGTAACTAGTGTCTCTGATTTAATTTAAGCCTATTTTATGATGATATCGTGTATTTCGTTTTTAAAATTTGCAGTGCATTCAAAGTGTAGTGAAACTTTACAAACCACCTGTATAGTTAAATAGCCGCTGCTGATGTCATGTCGGGAGTTTCCCTACTCTAAAATTGGACATTACGGGTATTTCCCTTTCTGAACAGGAAGATAACTCTTACACAAGCTTCGGATATAAACACGTAATTTCTAGCCACAAACCAGAAAAGCAGCTTACCCACACAGCTTTCCCAGAAAGGAAAAATGCTCACAAACGGCGTGGCTAATTGAAACTAGTGATGTTCAAACTTCAGCCTTTGGTAAACTTTACTATCGTCATCTGAAACACTGTATAGTTTACAGTTTATTTAACAGTAATATTTCTTTGTTAGTTAGTTAGTACGTTCAAATGGTGGTTTCGGTTTCACTCGTTTGTTTATGAAATATTGAGAGTAACAAGTAGTAACAAGTGACTGATGTTTTTATTATTAATATAATAATATTATTTTTTAAATGCACATGACATGCGTTTTTCAATTTATAAGAGAAGAAATCCCGTTCCTTAAATGACATCCTTCACATTGTGGTTTTTATTTATTATAGTTTAGTAATACTAGTTAGTTTATCACATGTTCAAGTTAAGTTTTTAATTTTACGTGTTTGTGGGTGCGTAGTATAAGCAAGCGTAGTTTTTCACACACACACACACACACACAAAAAGAAGTATTGTGTTCGCCTGAAAACATTTTTTAATCGGTATTATGTTCACCTGAAAACATTGTTTTTAATCATTATTAATTTATGTTGAATGTTCATCTGAAAACATTCTTTTTAATCAGTATTATGTTCACCTGAAAAAATTGTTTTAAATCAGTATTATGTTCACCTGAAAACGTTCTTTTTAATCAGTATTATGTTCACCTGAAAACATTGTTTTAAATCAGTATTATGTTCACCTGAAAACATTCTTTTTAATCAGTATTATGTTCACCTGAAAACATTGAATATTATTCCTTGTTTTATCTGCTCTTTATATCTTATAGCCACAAAGATGTCATCATCTTAAGAGCACCAAGTCATTGCTAAATCACTGAAAGTTCACCTGAAAAAATTGAATATTATTCCTTGTTTTATCTGCTCTTTATATCTTATAGCCACAAAGATGTCATCATCTTAAGAGCACCAAGTCATTGCTAAATCACTCAAATATGAAGAGAAGTTCAGTTGAGTTGCTGCTACAGTACAGATGGCGTAAGGCTCTTGGTCTTTGCATGGAATGTGGCAAGCCTGTCAAACATGGAGGTGTGCAGTGCTCACTGTGTCAGTTCTTCAGGTCAGTGGGAATTTGTATTGGCTCTTTTGATAACAAATCCTGCATTATGTGTGACTGGAAATCAGTGATGTGCACCAGTTAAAATGATATTTTAATTGCACATATTATATTTAGTCAGGTTGATTTGATTTGATTCAAAAACCGGCATCACAGCACTCGGGGCATTCCCATAAGCGCTCCATCCCCATCTTCAGCAGCCAGTGAAGAGTTCCGATACTAATGGTGCCAGTAGCATTCTGATTAAACACACATCTTGCCTCTCCTCTAAGCCTTGAGCATCTGCCAGAACCTCTCGTCACTCCCCGCTGCATCAATCTCACCAGACTGGTGATCCTTCTACTCCTCGGAACTGTACACGCTCTCCGACAAGGCACTAACCACGTCTGCCTTATCATGTATCAGTATTCCACTAAGTTGTGTAGAGCCAGCCAGTCTGTCCACCTGTTCATTTAAATCATCATTTAGTATGGATAAACCCAATCACTTAAACCACAGGTGAAAGCTCAATACTCAGTGTAGCAAAGTCTAGTTTATGATACTTTTTTTCTTCTTCTTCGTGTTCACCGGCTGTAAACTCCAGGGGGGGGGGGGGGGGAATTCTGGGTGGCCGCCAACCTCCTGACTTAAGTCTTTTTCTAGAATATAAGTGTTGTGTGCACATCCATTTTACAGATCTAGCTTATTTGTATGCAGACAGTTGGTTCCTTGCCTTTCATACAGAGGCACTGAGACTTTGAAGGATGTCCCCAGTTAGTTGACTTCTATGACATCCTTGTTAGGTAGGCAGTGTGTCTTTTCTTGTTTTCCCCACAAAAAAGGGCCCCAAAACCCACATAGGGAGTGTTTTATACTACATAGTCTAGTTTGAGAATGGAGGTGGAGGCAGTCAGTCAGCTTTCTGCTGGCTTGAGAAGCAGCTGCACACACATACCATGACTGTAACCGACTCATAAAGCATGTTCAGAACGATGGAGACAAGCATGCTTTATGCAGAGTGGCAAGCATTGCTTCACTGTTCCCGGGTAGTTGTTGTTCTTTGGATATTTGTTTCTGGAGGCATGTTGGAGTGTTTGGAAATGAACAGACAGACAGATTGGTTCTGCAGTTTATGCATGACAAGCTAGGTGTGGTCAAAGCCATTTGGGAACAAGTGAAAAGTGTAGAGGCACACACTGATCATGATGGTCTGGACAGAACGGTACAGGTAGGAGTGATCAGGGGATCTGGTTGACGCTCTGTACTCAGAGAAGAGGCAAGACACACACATCTCACCAAACTCCTACTGACACCATCAGAACTGAAACTCTTTGCTGGCTGCTGAAGATGAGGACAGAAAACTTATGGGAGTGTCCTGAATGCTGTAATATCAGTTCTTAGCTCAAAACTCAATTAACAGGCAGAGAGACTGACCTGTTCTTCACCACTTGGTGGTGAATTGATGTATGACAGGCTAGATGTTGTGGAGGCCCTTTGGGAGCGAGTGAACAGTGCGGTCTGAGGAGAATGGTGCTTCATGAGTTACAGGGGGATCTGGCTGACACTCAAGGGAAAGGCGAGACAGATGTGAAATCAGACATATTGGTGTCAGCTGAATTAAAAACTCTTCACTTGCTGCTGAAGATGGGGCGAGTGCTTATTGGAATGTCCCAAATGCTATGATGTCGATTCTTAATTTAACAGTCGACATTCAGCTTTCACTCATCACCGAAACAACACATTTCTCTGATACGTTATGTGGGTTCGGCCATTATGGATGAAGTATGCCTATGATTTTGTTTCTGTTGTGACTGTTGCCTCACTTTGGCTGAACCACACTGGAATGTGGGAGCTTGTTGAATCTTGAGGCTCCTATTCCCAGATTTTTAGGGGGCTTTTCTGTACCCCCCTCTCCAAATAAAAATGTGCAAGGAGCTAAGTGCCCCACCTCCAATCCATATTTTAAAGTAAAAAAAAAATTTTTTTTTTAAAAATATATTTCATATTGTTTGAAATAGACTACTGTATTCATTTACATTCAGTTCATAATATTTATTATAATTATGGTATGCTTGAACAAGGCTTAATTAATAACTCAAAATTACGAAGGGGGCGAAATCCCCCACCCCACCACAGTGATTTCTTTGTGACATCACCAATGCTGTGGTCAGAATAAAGATTAGGCACTTTCACTATTTTTAGTCGTTTCAAGTCTAGAAGTGAATGAACAGCCAGAACTTTCTACCGGTGTTTACAACTGGTAAACTTGAAGAAAAAAAACAAAGCTTCATCATTAACCACTGTCTGTTTTGGTATCTAATATGTACTGACTGTTCAAGACAGACTAAGCACTTTAAGTACTAATCATAGAGGCAATTTTTAGTTATTTTGAAGCCCTACCCTGGCTCTTGGAAGGGGCCGCAATATAGACCGGCCATAAATATGACCGAATGGCTGAACGGGTTTCCGGGACCTCCCCACAGGTGATCCTCATCCACATCCGGCACTTTCTGTCACAGGGTGTTTATCACTTGTGTGATGTCCTAGTGGGGTAAAATGTACTACTACTACTTTAAGTACAAAGTTTTACTTAAACTCAGTCTAACTTTAGCTTTTAGTTTCTAATATGTACTGACTCTTTAAGACAAAGCACTTTAAGTACCAGGCAAGTTTTACTTAAACTCAATGTCACTTAAGCTTAATTTGTACTGACTGTTTAAGACAGACTAAGCACTTTAAGTACCAGACAAGTTTTACTCCAACTCAGTCTAACTTAAGCTGTTTGTTTCATACTGTTAATTAGTAGGAAAAAACAATTCAGCAGGTGTTATATTTACAAAAACAATAGTTTACCCCCAACAAAATCTGCACTTACCATGGTTTTGCAGCTACAAGAGCAGTGAATATCCACATTTGAGAGTAACAGTTTAAAGTTTGTTCAGTTTTCTAACAAATTCAAAAGTTATGATACTTTTCTGGATTAGTTTATCACTCAGAGGCTTTAGGTTCTCATAGAGGTCTGAACAAAATTTCTTAATCAACACACACCGCTTCTCTGGTCTCAAAGAGTTAAGTACCAGGCAAATTTTACTTCAACTCACTCTAACTTAAGCTTCCGGTGTCTAAGCTATAACATGTCTGAATCTTAAAGGTGTCAAATAATAACACTGTAAGAGAATAGAATTGATTAATAAAAAAGTTGAATCTTTTCCTTTTTTTGCATTTACCCATAAAACGGTGTTGGCACTGTATGTTGTGGTTTACAGCTAATCTATGATATTTTCAACTCCACACATCTGATTTCCTCAAACTCCCAAATAGCCGCCTTTTATGACATGCTTGTTGTTATAGGGGGGTGGGGGGCAGTAAGTCTCCCCTTCCCCTCCCTTTTTTTTCTAAAAGAAAGAAAAAAGGGACTCAAAAACCACATGGACCAAACAACTGGATGCATAATGACATATGGATCAAGTGTTTAATTGAAGAATAACTAGTCTATGGCTACCAAGGCTCAATACTCAATACCTCTTTCAGACCTGATGCTAAAAGGCAGAATAGGACTAGAACAGAAGACCTTGACTTAGAGGTTCGTGTAGACAAGGGCTTCCCAAACTTTTCTTAGTTGCGGCCCCTTTTTTCAATGACAATTTTTCCACTGCACCCTAACCTAAGTAAAACTGTGACTACTCGTATGTAAGAGATATTTAAAGAAAAAACTCTTTCAAAAATATATCTTTAAATATTTTACAGCGCCCTTGTGAAAATGTCTCGGCTCCCTGGAGCGCTGCGGCGCACAGTTTGGAGATCACTGGTGTTGGCGTAGAATGATTCTTAACATGCCAGGATTTGATTTCTAATGTGTTGATTAATACAAAACAAAAATCTGTTCTCATGGCTCTCAGATATGGACATAAAAGTGATATGTGGGAGAGAATAGAAACTCACCACATAATATTCCTAATCACCATGTAATATTCATAATCACCACATCATATTTCTAATCACCTCTTAATATTCATAATCACCGCATACTATTCCTAATTACCTCTTAATATTTATAATCACAATATAATATTCCCAATCACCACGAAATATTCCTAATAACCACATAATATTCCTAATCACCACGTAATATTCCTAATCACCACGTAATATTCCTAATCACCACGTAATATTCCTAATCACCATATAATACTCTAAATCACCACATAATATTTCTAATCACCATGTAATATTAATAATTGCCGCCTAATATTCCCAAAGGGAAACTGTTGTTAAAATGGCATGCAATTATTACATAGTAAATGTGTGTACAACAATTTGCTTTGTGCTGTATAAGTTAAAAAATATTTGTTTTTCATTTCTTTCATATAGATACTGCAGTCCGCAGTGTCTAGACAAAGACAGAGAGGTGCACACGCCTATGTGTAAGGTGTTTATATTCATCCGAGAGATGAGACAGGTGTCCCCTGAATGTGCAACAATGATGTCAGAAGATGTAATACATAGAGCACAACTCCTAGATTGTGAAGGAAACCTGATCTCACCTTCTGTCATGGAAGATGTATATGTGGTGAACAGTTCCAGCAGCTTCTCTAGGCCTATAGCACACGTTGTAACTGGATCCAAAAGTGACACTGAAGTCTTGAACAGTAGTGAAAGTATTGATGATGCTCTATCAAAGCAGGAAAGTGCATCAGTAAATGATACTGAATCTGAAAGTACCGGCAAATGCAAGGATTATACAAGATTCACTAATGAAAGGGAATCCACAAGTGGTATTAAATTTAAAAAAGATATTGAATCCAAGACTGACAGTGAAATCTTGAGCACTAGTGGATTCAAGAGTGGCAGGGGATCAGACAGTTTCACTGGATTAAGAGATAACAGTGATTTAAAGAATGATAATGGATTTACAGATGAAACTAGATGCAAGACAGATAATACGCTCAAGAGTGGAAGCCAGTCTGAAAGTGACTCTAAAACAAGCAGAAGTAAGGTGCAAAGCCCAGATCCAGCCCAAAAATATGTTACTGCCACATTCACAGTTAAAATAAACAATGGTGGAAAACCCACAGTTGTATCAGAAGTATTTCAACAAAAGTCTTCATGTGGAGCAGAAGGAAGTTGTGTACGTGGGCAGTTTAATGTACCTGACTGTATGAAGCAATACATAACTGCTTGTGCAAAATATCGGCAAGCCACAAAGGGTTCCTGTCATGATAAATTACTGAATAATAATCAGGCAAGTCAGCAGAAGTCATCTGATAGAATATCTAATTTCAGCAATACAGAAACTAACCCTACCATCAGACAACGTGGTGAAGCAGCAAACCAGAGTAGTGGTGTAGAAAACAGTACAGCAGTGCATAAACTTCCTAACAGTGAAGGCCATCTTGGCAAGAATGATGCACATTCCAGTAATAGCGAGACTGGAAACCGAAATATTTCTAATAACTGTAGTCTGACCAGCAAACCTGAATCGTTTGGATTAAGTTGGTGGCAAAAATCTAACAAAGACTCTTCCAAAAAATCTACACAAGGAAATGCATCAAGTAAACAGCCCAGCAGTGATAAAAATCAGCAAACAGAAAATGGAAGCAAAGAAAAGTCATCCAGGAGCAAAGTTTTTGATTCTGGTGATCGGAAAGTTCCTGGCTCTGTTGAAACAAGCAAACAAACTGAGTCACAAGAATATGGCTTAGGATGGTGGCAATGCCGTTTACCACAAACAAGTTCTTCAACTACCAAACATGAAATTAAACAGGAATCACAAACAGGACAATCAAGCTATGAAAACAGGCAACAGGTACCTGATCCTCATCAAACAGCAAGTAATTCATGCGAATCTGGTAAAGTTCCTAGCAAAGATGGTGCAGTAGACAAGAAAACATTTGATAAAAGTAATTCAAGTAGGACAGCAAGCAGTAACCATTCCTTGGATAGGGATGCATCTGCTGAAAACACCCATTTGAACACTCCTGGACAGAATGGGGCTTCCGAAACTAGTACGGATAGACAAGCACCACAATGTGACGATTTTGGTGCCGGATGGTGGAAGCCTCCTACAAAAGTTCGTAACACAAAGAGTGAGAATTCAACAAAACCTACAACTGATAAGGCTTCTACCAGCAAGCCAGAATGTGCGGATGAGCAGAAAAAACAGAGAGATAAAAGCTGTGATAATGTAAATACTTGTACAGATCTCATCCCTTTTAAAGTCTCTTTAACAGCAGGTATGTTTGTTGTATTATGTATGTTGTTGTGTGAATACGTTACATATGTGAACCCAAATCTATGCCAAAGAACATATCACTTATTCACTCCCAGACCTCTTCTTCATATTCTGTCAAAGCCACTAGTGACTGTATTTACAACTTTTTAAGGTGGTGTATACAGGGGGTGATGATACTCAGGATTTAGGGCTACATGGCTAGTGCTGATGCCATCCACTGTGCTGGTTAGTTTGTTTAATTTTCTCCCAAACAGACAAACTCCATCACCATACCGGAATTTGAAAAAAAAAAAATCAGCAGAAAGTCCTGATTGTTTGTTCACTTCTAGATTTTTGTCCTGTTCCAGGACTGGAGTTTTATGTGCACACCCATTTTACAGATCTAGTTTAATTATATGCAGACTGTAGGTTCCAGCCTCTCAGACAGATGTACTCTGGCTTTTAAGAAAGCATTGATCCTATCTACATTGACCTGGCCTCTATTTGGGAACCTATTTCTAGGATGACCGTAGAATCCAAGCCTATTTCTAGGATGACCGTAGAATCCCAGCCTATTTCTAGGATGACCGTAGAATCCCAGCCTATTTCTAGGATGACTGTAGAATCCAAGCCTATTTCTTGAATGACTGTAGAATCCAAGCCTATTTCTTGAATGACTGTAGAATCCAAGCCTATTTCAAGGATGACCATAGAATCCCAGCCTATTTCTAGGAATATGGTAGTCCCAGCCAATTTGTAGAAGTTAAGGACTCTTTTTCACTCCTTGGCAGTATCAGGCATATAGTTCCGCACCTGTATGTTTTCTGTATACTAATCAGTAAATGATAGGGGATGCAATCAGATAATGTTGATTGCTTTTTCTTTTCCCTGCACATTAGTAGTAGTAGATTGTACCCCACCAGGACATCACACAAGCGATAAACACCTGATGACACAAAGTGCCACCATGTGGATGAGGATCACCCGTGGAGAGGTCCCACAAACCGCGTGCAGCCATTAGATCATAATAATGGCCTGGCTATATTGCGGCCCCTGGCAAGAGCTAGGGTGGGGGCTTTAAAATAACAAAACATTGCATCGCACAAGGAGATGTGAGGTGATAACAGTGTTCCCCGCACACGTTCTGGTGCGTCTTCAGCTTGGTTAAACAGGTAAACCTAGTTATATTTATACAAATCGGCCTGGATTTGAACCCATGACCTCTAGGCTGGCAATCAGACATGTTCGCGACTGCATCTCTGGCTTCCTGTGGGTACCAGACAGTTGTCAGTGTAAAAGTGGAGCTCTGAGAGAGAACTCTGGCTTCCTGTGGGTACCAGACAGTTGTCAGTGTAAAAGTGGAGCTCTGAGAGAGAACTCTGGCTTCCTGTGGGTACCAGACAGTTGTCAGTGTAAAAGTGGAGCTCTGAGAGAGAACTCTGGCTTCCTTGTGGGTACCAGACAGTTGTCAGTGTAAAAGTGGAGCTCTGAGAGAGAACTCTGGCTTCCTGTGGGTACCAGACAGTTGTCAGTGTAAAAGTGGAGCTCTGAGAGAGAACTCTGGCTTCCTGTGGGTACCAGACAGTTGTCAGTGTAAAAGTGGAGCTCTGAGAGAGAACTCTGGCTTCCTGTGGGTACCAGACAGTTGTCAGTGTAAAAGTGGAGCTCTGAGAGAGAACTTACCAAATTCCAGTTAATCAATAGATGACGAACAGATGCTGACCCTGGATATAAATCATTGAGGGGCAAAACCCAGATATAAATTTAACTAGAATGTCCCTGCACTGGAACCTACAAGGTCAAAGGAATAAAGACCACCCCCCACCCCCCTCCTCCCCCTTTTTTCCCCCAAATAAAAAAAAAATAAAAACCCTAGTTAAAGGTAGGATTATTGACCTAATTGCACTGGGATTTTTCCCATGTGGCATGTTCTGTGTACATCGAAGGGCTTACTGCCAGCAGAAATGTTGCAACTACAAAAAAACTGCACTAGTGAACCAAACACTGCCTCATGAAATGAACCCACGAACATCACTTGGAAAAAGAAAATAGAAGATGAGAGCAAAAAGATTGGGAGAGCATGAGATGAGCTGGCAAAGGATAGGAAGACCGTTTGAGTTGGCTGAGGGTCTTTGTTCCACTGGGGCCATAGAGGGCAAATGAAAAAAAATTGAGAAATAAAGGAAAGAAACTGAAACAAACTAATGAATCGATCTGGTAGAAATACAGTTTCCCAAAGATAATCATTTCCTTTTGGCAGATAACAATCAAGTACCAGTCATATATATCCCACCAGTTGTTGTGCTTGAAGAGAGGAAGGAGAGCTCTGCTTTAGGGGAGGGGGGGGGGAAGAGTCTTATTGCCAGCTACAATAGGTTGCACAAGGAAATAGTACTTCGGACCTGAACACAATAGAGCAACCACCCTTATACATTGCACAGTTGCAGCCTAAATCGGAAGATCAGACAGGCAAAAAAGTAACCCAAAGGACCGAATTAAAGGACCCAGACATGCACAGATGAAAATCACCACACTAGAATAACAACACTTAGCCATTTATAATAATACAAAAACTACTAGCCATTATGCTTGGTACAAATAACAGATCATAGCCAATATGTTTGGCACAAAGAAATCAGACACTAATTGCATCCAAAGCTGTTTTCCACATGTTGAACAGGGTAAAATCTTTATGTTCCATGCAAAATACTCTTATAATAAAATTGAATAGCTGCATTTCAGAGTATACTATGAAACATGACCAAATCGGTTCTTTTAAAGTGTCATTTTTAGCCAGGTGTGTCATACAGCTGGAACCCACAACTATGAAATATAGATATATTTTGTTTCAAACCACTGAAATAGCACCTTGGTTACAGAAATGCATACATGTCTAATAACAGACATAGAACATTCAAACACATAGGACTGTAATTCTGTGTCCTGTGTACAACAAACATTTTAAGATTTGATTGGTGGGTTCCATTGTGTTGTAAGTCTAAATAGAGATAAGCAAGAGTTTTCGGCTTCTTTATTTTTATGCTTCATCCTGAGAGATAAAGCCCTTGACAAGCAAGACTCAGGTGACCTGAAAGTAAAGACATCAGACTAAAGAGTTATGAGTGAGTCTTTCAGAGACCAGACAGCCAGCAAACCAGCCATCCAAAAAACCAACCATCCAACAAACCAAAACACCAGCCAGCCAACAAATCAACCATCCAACAAACCAGCCAACCCCAGCCAGCCAACAAACCAAAACACCAGCCAGCCAACAAACCAAAACACCAGCCATCCAACAAACCAAAACACCAGCCAGCCAACAAATCAACCATCCTACAAACCAGCCAACCCCAGCCATCCAACAAACCAGCCAACCCCAGCCATCCAACAAACCAAAACACCAGCCAGCCAGCAAACCAGCCGTGCAACAAATCAACTATCCTACTAACCAGCCATCCAACAAACCAAGCAGCCAACCTCAGCCAGCCAACAAACCAAGCAGCTAACCAGCCAGCAAACAAACCAGGCAAGCTGTTTGCATCATGCTCCGTAGGTCATTGGATTTGTTTCACGGTTGTGCCTTTCAATTCACTAGTGCTATATTTACGTAGACCCCTGGGGATTGTCATCAAAGCTATAGAGTTCATGCTCTGTGCAGCGCTCTCACAGGCGGTTAGCATTCTGTAGAGAGAACCCCAGCCATATGGGATAAAACTCAGTGCAGTGAAGTGGATCCTCTCGACTTTAACCTTTTAAACGAACCATCCAACCAGTCCTGTTGGTTTTTTACTTGCACTGCTCTTTCTCTTCAAATTTGCTACTGACTCTTTGAATGCTTTTTATATTTTTGTATTTGTCAGAACACATTGTGAGATTTGCCAAAGTAGCCTCCCGTATTTTATCAAGTCTAATTCACACTGAAGCTATGCATGGGCGAGTGATTAGGATGGGGCTCATTTCAGTTCCTGCTTTGTGGACAGGTAAGGTATCTTTAATAGCTACATAGAATACTTAGTTGATTATAACTATTGTCATTCCGTTGTGCTATTTTTACATCATAAATGGATCATAATCAGTTTTTCCCCCTATTTCATTATTACATGTCCAGTCTTTTAACTCTTTGAGTCCCAAGGAATGTATCATATGTTCATAGGTTCTTACCTAGAAGCCTAGTGAACGCAAGATGTGCCGATTTTATGTCTCTCTTGACTACCCCTGGGGTTTCTGATGCTAAACCCCCGGGCCTCAGAGAGTTAAATATCTGGGGGTAAAAATCAACAAATCACCTTTTGTCCCTCTCATTGGTGTTTGTTGTAGCATAGATAACCTTTCTTCTTGCGTCCATTTATTTTCCAATTTCAGTGTCTGTTTGGTCATTCTCCTTCTGCTGTGCTTTGGTACCTCTAGCAACTACCATATGCATTTACTGTGTGTGCATATTTCTGGATTGTTCTAGGACTAATTGTTTGTACACCAGTTTTTCAAATGAGACAGAGGGACATTTCATTTGATTTGCACTGGCACAGGAACGGAGCAAGTATGGTCAAACCCGATTGCTGTGAAGTTGAAACCTTAACTAAGACTAAGACTAACCAATATATCACTATCTTGTTGTCTTGTGTTTATGCAAGTGGTTGTCTTGACATGTCTACATAGCTCAGTAGCTGCACAAATAAGTCATCCTTGTTGATTCCTCATGTAAGCAGTGTGATTTCTATCTTTTTTTTTCCTTCCTGATTATTTTTTACTGTATGCAGCCACAAGGTCCACTCATCAAGGTCCATTTCATTAACCCTCTTAGCCCGAGAAGTCGCAAAACTGACACTTCTAGCTGGGCTAATTCCCTATGTGTGCCACTTTTCTGACTTGTCTATAGTGACCTGTTTACAAGACATATAGGTAATGCTACTGGCTGCGTTCATGCCTCCTCAAACGTTTCTTAGGTCCGGATTTGAATATGTTAATTTTAAAAAAGTATTTGAGGAGTTTTACCTGTAAATTAATTTTTTTTTAAATTTAGTCAAGGTGACATCAGATTTTTTCATAAGCCTGACAGAGGTCACAGGGTCATTACATGAGTCACCCATTACATACATTTTTAGGCCCTGTTGAATGTATTCCATTTAATGCTTTATTCTCTTCATATGTATTGATTACACCCTTTATATCAGGAGTAGAAGTGCACACAGAATCACTAAATAGGTCTCCTGTGTGGGTTCCGGGGCTTTATTGTAGGGAAAACAAAAATAGAACCACTGCCTACCCGAAAGCATGTCATAAAAGTCAACTAATTTGAAGCTTGCTTTGAAGTCAGAGTGCCTCTGCCTGAGAGGCAAGGAATCAGCTGGCTGCCTACAAATGAGTCAGATCTGTAAAATGGATGCACACACAACACTCAGGTTCTGGGCCAGGACTGGAGTCCGAAAGTGGATGAACAACCAGAACTTTCCGGAACAACCAGAACTTTCCGCCAGAGTTAACACCTGGTGAATACGAAGAAGAAGATTAAATATGCACTGAAAGGGTAAACAGCTGTATTGGGGACATGAAAACGTCAAAGAGAAAACCTAAAATGGATGTTGTTGAGAGAGACTCAAGAGGCTGGACTAGACTGCATCTATAATATCAAAAAGGATTGCACAGGATACAGTAGATTGGATGAATGACCTTGGGCCATGTTTAATGTATACAAATAATAGCACAGTATTATGGTGATAATCATCTTCTTCTTGGCATATAATTAATTTAAGAAGAATAATCCTGATGGAAAATATCTATGTTTTGTTGTAAAAAATATCTGTTTTGTTGTAAAAAATATCCATGTTTTGTTATAAAAAATATCTATGTTTTGTAATAAAAAATATCTATGTTTTGTTATAAAAAATATCCATGTTTTGTTTAAAAAATATCCATGTTTTGTTATAAAAAATATCTATGTTTTGTTATAAAAAAATATCTATGTTTTGTTATAAAAAATATCCATGGTTTGTTGTAAAAAATATCTATGTTTTGTTACAAAAAATATATGTTTTGTTATTAAAAAAATCCATGTTTTGTTATAAAAAAATCCATGTTTTGTTATTAAAAATATTTATGTTTTGTTATAAATGATAGCTTCTCTTGGAGGCTCTCGGGTCACATTGGTGGTAGAGATTGTCATGAGAATTCCTGGTATGATGCCTGGAGTAATCGTCCATGTAAGTTTTTCTCATTTATTTGAGTAAATAAGGTAGTTTGATTATTAAGTTGTATCTTCTTCTGGGTTCATCCAGAGATGTAAATACATTGTGCCTGTTTACATCATGGCTGCAATATCTGGGTCTTTTGGCTGGGACATCCAGCTTCTGCGGGTATTTGTTGTCCGGGTGAGGCTTCCTGCTTTGTTTCATTAGACATTGCAGTTTTACTGTTTCTAATATTTCTATTTTTGTAATAAGAGACTTGTCGTTGTCTAGTGTTCACAGAGTAGTCGAAACAGAGTTTCTTTCCAATTAACTCACAACTCCTCCACATAACAGTCAACACTAATTGATGTCAGTTTCATGTTTATTGATCACAACACATCACCTGTGAGAGCCTGTCCTCCGGTCTAACACAAAGCCTAGCGACAATCTACTGCATGACATTAACTTCATACATCCAGGTCTGCACTTCAGATCACACAGCCAACTCATCAATGTCCCTCTTTGACATGTACGTGACCATAGTCAGCACTCGGTCGGACACATCACTATTGTCTTTCTCTCAGCCTTCATTCAGCCTGGCATAAAATGCAGATCATCATCTTTCAGTACAGACAATCATCTTTCAGTACAGTCTATCAACTTTCAGTACAGTCGATTGACTTTCATACCTTCCATCTCTGGAGCCCTGTTACAGAATGAGTTTCTATTCGGCTATTCCCCCAATTATCCCATGTTCCCCCAGTTATCACTTGTTTCCAAGTTCATGTGTTTTCACTCTGTCATGCTGACTTCGTGTCTTGCAGCCTAGGCGTTTCACTGATTATAACAACCAGTCAAACCTTTTTTTATAGACTAGATCACACTTGATTGGTTATAAGGTCAGCGTCATGTCAGTCACATTTTCCCTAGAACATTTCTTGTTCCCATTTTAGGCAAAGTTGACTCGAGAATCAAGGTTAGTCAGTTTAGTTTTTCAATCCCCTTGATAATTTTAAAAAAGACTTTGGCCTGCCTGGGCAGCATCTGCCCACTTAATTACTTGGGCTAAAATAGCACATTGCCTTCCCATAAATATTTATAAATCTTACATGACAAGAACTGAACCAGACCAGACCCAGAAACCCCAAGCACCCCACCGGACTCAGGAAGCAAAGAACCAAAATATCAGGTGACTACACACCACAAATAATTGAAAATCAAATAAGATAGCCAAGGAACCTTCCTTCATATAGCAGGCCTCCGGGCAGCTGAAAAAGGATCAAGTTTTGAATTTTTGTTCGACAACTGGAATTAGAATGACAAGGCAGATGTGGTCAAGGCCCTTTGGGAACAAGCAACCGAATCAGTGGTCAAGGCCCTTTGGGAACAAGCAACCGAATCAGTAGAGAAACAAGATTATTATGGTCTAGAGAGAATGAGGCACCTGGGCGTAACCAGAGGGTCTAGCCAGCTCACTACACTCAGAGGAAAGGCAAGACGGACATATAACCAGATTGTGACCGGTACCATCAGTATTGGAACTCTGCGCTGGCTGCTGAAGTGAGGATGGAGCATGCACGGGAATGCCCCAAGTGCTGTGATGTCATTTCTTGACTCAACTTAACTCAGAAATCTTTTGGTAACCGTTACTGTCTAATGGTGATGGCTCTCTTGGATCAAATGGACAGTGCAAAAATACAGAGAATCCACATCAAAAGACAAATTCTCTAGGGGGTGAGTAGAGATACTGTCAGATGTTCAACACTGAGGAAGATTCTGCAGGGGATGAGTAGAGATACTGTAAGATGTTTAACACGGAGGGAGTGGGGTTTGAACAGGCGGACTTTTAATCATGTTACTCCCCATGTCAGTTCCGGGGCCCCATTGGGGGGAAAAACACGAACAGACCCACTGCCCGCCTAAAAGCATGTTGTAAGAGTCGACTAATTAGGAGCTTCCTTGAAAGTCGGAGTACATCTGCCTGAGAGGCAAGGAACCAACAGTCTGCATGCAGATGTCAGACCTGTGAAATGGATGTGCACATGATGCTCAGTTTCTGGAACAGGACTAGAGTCCAGAAGTGGACAAACAACCATAACTTCCACCTGAGTTTACAACCGGCGAATGTGAAGAAGAAGAAGAATCAGGTTGCAACTGATACTATTAGCATGTCAACTCTTCATTGAGTACTGAAGATTCATTCATTCATTCATACTATCTAATTCATATACCTTCCTATATTCAGGATGAGTTAGGCCATTTTGCCCAAGTACTCTTCAATACCTCAGAATCAAAGATGTATACAGTTCCTGGTACAAACGGCCTGCTGACACTGCCCATATCTGCCTGTCTGAGGCCGGGAACTTTTGTACTGCTGCGGGCTGTCAGCTGGGAGCAGCTGCAAGATGGCAGTTTGATTATTGTGATGAAAGATATGTCCTGTGTCGATTTTATTTTTTATGAATTGTTTAAGTAG